CCACTTCACCACCGCTTTCGCTTACAATCTATCTTTTTTGTCTGTAAGGAAGGTCGCAGGAAGTCACTTTCCTTTTGACTGTCGGTAGGAATCAATGAACGATGGAATGTAGGATTGCTGGAAGGAACGCTGGATGGATGGACGCGAGGAAGGAAGGAAGGGAGGAAGGAAGGGAGGGAAGGAAGGAAGGAAGGAAGGAAGGAAGGAAGGAAGGAAGGAAGGGAGGGAGGAAGGGAGGAAGGAAGGAAGGAAGGAAGGAAGGAAGGAAGGAAGGAAGGAAGGGAGGAAGGAAGGAAGGAAGGAAGGGAGGAAGGAAGGAAGAGAGGAAGGAAGAGGAGAAAAGGGAGGAAGGAAAGAAGGACGGGAGGGAGGGAGGGAAGGAGAGAGGGAGGGAGGCGTCAAGTCTTTCTCAATTTCAATAAACTCCTATCACTGAGTAAAATGCAATTTCTTCACATACTCAAAAACAGTATCTTATGATAGAGTCTGTAATTATCCCTGGAACATTAGAAAAGATAGAAGGAATTACAAGAAATGGAATTTCTGTTGATCCCAATGATGATAAACTTCTCAACTTACCCGAAAATCCTGAGTGAATTGCTTTTTTTCTCCCTAAGAAACCATCTTATGGTATTATTAGCAAAGTCTTTAAAAGCCCCAAATTGGCTGAGGCTGGGGTTTAGCTTGTGAAAAAGAAAAGTAGCAACTAGAGTTGGGCTGGCTATAGGGACTTGCCAAATGAGTCTATAGCAGACTAAAGAGGGAAATATAAATGTAAACAGTTAACAAACTATAAAGCAACATACAAACATTATTATTATTAATGGTAACTATTAATAATAATAATTAATATTTTAATGCTGATCATTTTGATCCACATACCCAAAATGAAAATCAACAAATTAGTTGTCAACTACAGCTCTGCTTTGCTTAAGAGTCTTGGAAAAGGAAAGTCATCAGCTCCAAATTCTACCCTATGGGACCTAACTGAGGCTCATTGAAGCCTCAGCAATTTCTGCTCTTGGAGTAGGAGATCAAGCAAACTAAGTTTTTTTTTCAAGTTTGGAATTACACACTTACTTCAAAACCTCAAAGAAATTATATTTTCCTTTTCTTCAGAACTGACCATAATGACTTGACATTTTAATTTCATTGTAATAGAGCAATTTAAACTAAAATTTTATGACTTATTTAATATTCCTTTAGAAAGACAGATTAAAAGGATGTACAAAGTTGTACATCTATCCAGTGGGTTCAAACACATAAATAAAATCTTTTCTAAAACACAGTATTTGGACAAGTTTGGTGTTACCTCTGGTACTCCTAATTTTCGGCATGCTTCCAAAAAGTTTTCCACATTTCTTCTGCATTTGGCCATGCTAAGCTTGGGCTATAAATGCAAACATGCAAAAATAATGCATTATTAAAAGAGAAATAATTTTAATAATAACTTAAAATTTAAACTTTCTAAATGGCACAAGTAATATGGGTTTATTGGTGAAAAATTATGTATGCAATTAGAAGACAATAAAAATTTATCTATCCAAAAATGTCCACCTAGAGATAAGAACTATTATTATTTTTATTATATTTTTCCAGACATTGTATGCATACGTTTGTGTCTACAAAGACATACATATATATGTATATACATAGATATGTGTCTTATATGCAGAATTTCTGCATATATGTATATATTTATACAAGTACATACATGTATATATATATGCAAAATTTTCTGCATATGTACATATTTGCTTGTATACATGCATTCACACACACATATTTATACACAATTTTTATGGGGCCAAACTCTTGTGTGATATACTTTAGTTCATCTAAAAATACACCTTTTCCTATCAGCAATTATATTTGTATATGAAGGGTTAAATTCAGTAGCCAATTAAACTCCTTCCCATTAAAGCAATGAATTTAATTAGAAAGAGGCAACATCAAGATAAACAGCACTGAACAAGGTGGATGTTAAGGACTTAACCAAGAGCCTCTCACAAAAGTGCTGACCCTGGCGAGGTGACTTCTGAGGTGTGTGGCATGGATAACAGGCACATCTTGATTCACACATTTTTATTTTTTACATGCTATGTTTTAAAAGCTTTACTGCTAAACTTAATGTTCCACTATTAGTTCTTTTAAAACGGGAGGCAAGAAGCATGAATAACTCCAACCATCCACGTATAGAAGCAATCCTAGCTAATAATAGACAAACATGGTAATTGATCGTACCTTTGCTACGCCTCCCATTGGCTAATCATCACAATATGCAAATTAACAGCCAACAAAGATGGCAGCTAATTTGCATACTGCAGGCAGGGCAGGCCAGCGCTAGCCGCCACCCGGGCCCCCGTGTGCCGCCTAAGCCCCGCCCCCAGCCGGGACCCCCATGTGTGGCCCTGGGGGGCGGGACCCTGCAGCCGTGATCATGATCGTGATCGGAAACCGGGCCGCAGGCAAGGCAGCACCCCGGGACCCAGGAACCACCTTGCTTGTGGCCCGTGATTGTGATCGGAAAGCCGGGCCGCAGGCAAGGCGGCCCCCTGGAACCCAGGAGCCCGTCGGCGAGGTCTGCAGGCGAAGCAGCGATCAAGCTAGGGGGGGCGGGGGGGAAGGAGCTACAGGAGCAGCTCTGGCCGGAGACTGAAGACTCCTGCCGGAGCGAGGAGCAAAGACTGAAGGCTCCAGCCGCAGCGAAGACTGTGTCCAGAGCAAAGATGGAAGGCGGTGGCCAGAGTGAAGGTCTGGGACCCGGGTGCCAGAGGAAAACTGGTGCTGGCAGCCAGGGGAAAGAAGGCCTATTGCACGAATCTCTTCATGCAACGGGCCTCTAGTGTTTTATAAAGACTGATCTTACCCTGCTAACAGCAAGGGAGAGTGAAGCAACTCATTCCACAGCTTAGGGGCCCGCACCAATCTTCATAAAACTAAATTTGCACAGTATTTATTAATAAAAGGAACTTCTTCTGTCCCACCCCCTGAAAAAAAGAAAGAAAGAAAGCCTGCTTCCAGGTGGAACAATTTAATTTGGAAGCTAAACAAATATTCTCCACTCTGGCTGGAGAGGACATGAGGTCTGCAAAGATGAGCCAAGAAGCTGTTAGGTGGTTATGCCCACACCTTGTATATCTTAGGACAAGACAGCTACATTCAGCCTCATGCAAAGAGAAGGGACAAAATGGGTAATGTGATATGGGGATATCAGACAAAAAGGTCCTAGCCCAGCACACAGGAAACTGAGAGGCAGTTCTGATCCTCCTAATTAAGATTTAGGAGAGTCTGTTCTGAAACTCCAAAGATGCTCAACACCATTCAAAATACTTAGGTCAGCCCAGTAAAGTCAATGAAAGTGTGCTTTAAGCTACATAAAGAAAATGTTCCATCTTTGGAAGTGAGAAAGTGCCCATTCTAAGATTGTTGCCTAGTATCAATTAGAAAAGTACTTGCCACAAATACAATAGTTCAAAAAATCAAAAATTACACCAACTTCAATGCCAGTGGTTAGCTTACCAAATTGTCAAAGATTCAGAAAATCTATTTTAATAGATTCTTAGCATCTATATATATAAAAGCCTAAGTGACCGAATGGCCAGTTATTATGACATGCATTGACCACCAGGGGCAGATGCTCAATGCAGGAGCTGCCCCCTGGTGGTCAGTGTGCTCCCACAACCAACCTCCTGCGCCCCCTCCCACCACCGGCCAACCTCCCGCAGCCCCGAACAGCCCCAATCACTGGCTAGGCCGAGGGACCCCATCTGTGCATGATTTCGTGCACCGGGCCTCTAGTATTGACAATAATAGTGATTCTGTTTACCACTATATTCCCTCAGTTTGGCATTAAAAATGGACAGTATTGGTTTCATGAATGAAAAATTAGCATGCTTAAAAACTGGCAATCACATGGATGGAAAAGGCTCCCATTTATGACTGATCAAGTGTTTACTATGTCTCAGATTCTTTTTCTGGTGCTAAGGATGCACCTGTGAAACTGAAAGATACAATCCTCATGGTCACTTAGTTCTGGTCTAGTTCAAAAACAAGTTCAAGAAAATTACAGTAGAGTATGATAGGTCTTAGTTGTGGGGAGGTTGTTATAAGAAAGAAAAAAAAGGAAAACACTCTATCTCAGTGCTAAGGAGTCAAGAATGGCTTGCGTCCTGTAAACACTACGGTAGAGAAGAAATGAGAGCTAGTGATGCTGCAGGTGAAGGATCTGGAGGCAGGGTGGGGAGCAGCCTTCTCGTTTAGAGAGCAGCCTCTGCAAACACTGCCGTAGAGATAGCACGCCACACGACACTGTGGCTTGGGCCTTGTCAAAGAGGCTTTAAGATGCTCTCTGAAGAATTTTCAAAGAGTGGACATTTAGCAACTGCCTGCATTTCTAAAAAGGAAGCATAACATATGCTATCATATGTTACAACTACTAAAATGGATGTTTACGAATAATTTTAGTGACATGGGAAATATTTAGGTTTTAATAAATTTTAAAAACAATTAATATATATCAGATGCTTACAATTAAAAAACTTAAATACAGAAAGTGCTAATAGTATAGTAACCAAAATGTTTTGATTGTCTTTGGGCGATGATTTATTTTTCTTCTGCATTTCTCTATTTTTTCTTTTTTGCCAACTAGGCATTATTTCTCATTATATTTTCATTTAAAATGTGAAAGAAAAATAAAGATGAAAAACCAAAGGATTTCTAATAAAATGTAGCATTTTTCCTTAAGAATAACTATACAAATGCATATAGATACATGATTCATAGTGTCCTCTTACACCGTACAAAACGATAATTGTACATTTCAATTGGAAGCCGAGAAATCATAGTTTCTTTCTTATACTTTGGGGGGAAATTATTTAAATGAGAATTTGGCACACAGCTCTGACAATATTATAACAGTTTGGATCCCATATGTAAAAAATACTAGAAAGTTTCGCATTGGATTATAGGACAAAATTTACTGCCCAGCCTAAGGCAGCTAGAGGCAGATTTGAAAGAGAAGACAAACTGGTCATTCCACACCCCATTTTCTGAAGCAAAAATGATCAAACTTTCCAAAGGAAAAATATGTTCAACAGTATAAAAAAGAAACAGAGTTGAAATGGCATCATCAGCTAAGAGAACAGAGGAAAGAAATTAGGACAAATAGTGCCAAAGTGAGGCTTTCCAGGAGGCCGAGGGAGGGCGCAGGTGGCTTCCCCCAGCGCCCTTGCCACGTGGTCATTTTATGAGCACTATGCCTTGGGATTAAGAAGTCGAATTTTGAAAATCTGCCCTATTAACACTAATGATAAGAATGGCTTACATGTGTGGGTATATCATATGTAGTACCTTATTTCATCCTCACAATATTTCCCATAGGGAAAAGCAAATTTAGTTTAAGAGGGGTTAAATAACGTTCCCAAAGACATATGGCTTATGAGCAGATCTGGAATTTGAATCCAAATCCTAAGTCTTAGCCCCTACTCTTTTCCTGCCTTGTCTAAAGAACAGCAAATAGTGTGAATAGACGTTCTTCTTTCTTCTCTACTTGTCTGAACCCGATATAGGCTTCCAGGACAAGCTGATCCCTGATTCTCCACACTCATCTGACTGACCATAAAAGTGACTCCATAGTTCTCCTCTGGATGGTAACAGGCTCTGTGTATACAGGAAGAGGATCCATTTGCCAGCTTTATCTCCCCTACAGAGGGGACAAATATTTTTAGGGCATTAATGGAGTCTCACTTATTTTCACATTTCCCATCATTCCCCCAATGCCCCCAATGTACCCTGGAGCACAGTGAATGATCAAGGAACTGTTGCATTAACGACGGCTGATCAGCCTCCAGCTTGACAGGTCAGTAATGATTTTTTACACAGAGCCCACATTTTTTCAGAGCTATCCTAAAATCCCCAATGGCTAATAAAGGAAAGAAACCCCATTCAAACGAGAAGCTACCAACTAAAAAACAGCTTTCCCAAAGCCTTCTCACTGCTAAATAACCCTTGGTAAGAAATGAATCTTTAGTCCCTAATGTCTTAAAATTAGCACCCCAACCAGTAATTTCGTAAATATGATTTGCTCTATATTTGAAATAAATTCATTTTCTGTCACTGACACATTTATTTTAAATATTCTCCCTTTAACAGTGAAAATATTGCTTCCTTCAGACTTATTCCTTTCTGCTCTTCAAGTGGTTTGGGGCCCAACAGAGAGGATCTGAGCAGATGATCCCATTGGCATTGTTAGCCAGCAACACTGTCTCAAAAGAGTCTGTTTTATGTAAAAAGTAGTTTCCCTTTCTGTAGTGTTACTTACAACTGCTGGTGAGGGGACGTGAATGCTTGCAACAGATCGCGGGCGGATGTGATTGACCAGATGGCAGAGGACAACACCATCCATGAGCGCAGCCCCCAGGTCTTCGTGCAGGCTGACCTTGAGTCTCATCTCAATGCTCTGTGGAGGAATCAGGACGTTTTGGTCAACGATGGACCACATATACAGCAGCGGTATACCATATAGCAAAGGTGTGTAGTAGGCTGAACCATCTAGGCTTGTGTAAGTGTGCTCAATGATGTTCACAAAACGATGAAATTGCCTGCTAATTTCTCAGAACATATCCCCATTGTTAAGTGGCACATGACTGTATATGAGATGCTCACAATTCGGAAACAACTTAAATGTAGAAAGAATGCCAGTAGAAGCCAAAATGTTAACAGTGCTTGTCTTTGAGCAGTGGGATACAAAAGGATTTATTTTTCTTTAGCATTTCTCTATTTTCTCCAATCAGCATTATTTCCTATTATATTTTCAATTAAAATGTTATTTTAAAAAGGAAAAAAGTGACAAGTAAATGATTTCTGAAAGAATATAGCATTTTCCCTGAAGAATTAATAAAATATGCAAATATGAATAGATATGTGATTGATAGTGTCCTCTTACATCTTATAAACTGATAATTGTATACTCAAATTGGAGGCCAAGGAGTTATAGTTTTTCCTTTGTAATTTGGGAAAACATATTAAATGAGAATTTGGTACACAGCTCCAACAACATTATAGCAGTTTTTATCTCATTTGTGAAAAATACTGGAAGTTTCACATTGGATTATAGGACAAAATTTATTCTCCAACCTAAGGCAGCTAAAGGCAGATTTAAAAGAGAAGACAAACTGTCCCCCTCCACCCGCCGTGTTTTTTTAGGCAAAAAAGTGGTCAAACGTTAGCCATGGTCCCTATCATCACAGAGCTGAAAATCTTTAATGTTACCCAGCACGTGACTTCATGATTGGTAGGAACTCAATTAGTTTTTCCATTAAATGATTGACTGAAAAGTTCTGACCAGTTTGGGATATAAAGTGAGGATAACTTAAAACATCTTTAAATTAATGGAATATTACTATTAAGTAACTGAAAAACAGCGCATTAGTTTAAAGTATGCCTGAATTGAAATAATACTAGCTTTATACATATGCATTAAGTAGTTCTATTTACATTATCGCATATATTACATACAAAATCACACTACGGTAGATTGGAACTATTATTTTAATACATGAAAAAACTGACACTCAGGGATGTTAAGTGACTTGCCCAATATCAAACAGTCTGTAGGCGACCTGGCTAGATTTGAAACTAGCACTGTTTGCAGTGCTTCAAAGTCTGTTTTTTAAAAAATACAATTGACCCTTGACCAACACAGGTTTGAATTGTGTGGGCCCACTTATATGAGGATTTTTAAAAATATATATATTTTTATTGATTTTAGAGAGGAAGGGAGAGTGAGAGAGAGATAGAAATACCAATGATGAGAGAGAATCATTAATCGGCTGCCTCCTGCATGCCCCCTGCTGGGGATTGAGTCCACAACCCAGGCATGTGCCCTTGACCGGAATTGAACTCGGGACCTTTCAGTTCACAGGCCAAAGCTCAATCCACTGAGCCAAACCGGCTAAGGTGAGGATTTTTTTCTGATAAATATGTATAGTACTGTAAATGTCTTTTCTTTTCCTATGATTTTCTTAATAACATTTCCTTTTCTCTAGCTTCCTTTGTTGTAAGAATACAGTACATATTACATGTTTAGTATGTGTTAATCAACTGTTGATGCTATTAGTAATGCTTCAGGTAAACAAGCTATTTAGTAGTTAAGTTTTTGGAGAGTCAAAAGTTATACTCAGATTTTCAACTGCTTTAGTGGCGATGGTTGGGGGAGAGGCACCCCTAACTACCATGTTGCTTCAATTCTGAAAATTATTACTCAAATATATAATATTCCTTGGGTACCTCACGGAGATGTTCCATCAGTTCTTTTTCTTCTCTCATTTGTTCCATTTTCCTCCGAATTGTAAACTGCGGGTCTATAGATTCCAAATTTCTCTGAGGTCTTAGAAACACTATAATAGAAAGGAAAAAAAAGCCTTTATGGAGTGTGTCTAGAGTAGATTGCCATAACACTATTCATATTTAAATTAAGCAAATGGTTTCTTTATTTATCCCAAATAATTCATTCACCACTCATAGAAATAATGGTAAAAATGTGACACCACATGAAAGCATGATTCAAATATTCTAAAAAAGATTATAATTTAAAATTATACTGGGTTGTGTGGACTGGGTTGTGTGGCAATAAACTGAATCCAGGGAAGAGCTTGGCTCATCCTCAGAGCCGGCCCATCTCACCTCTCTGAAAGACTTCCTTCCTCTCTTATTTTCCCAGTGCTTTCATTTTAAGTTTTCATTTACATTACACTCGAGGTTTCAGTCTTTTCATTAAACTCAGAGAATCGGTTTCACATAAGAAGTCTCTAGAATTGCTTTACATATTTAAAATAGCACAGGTTAATGTTTTTTTGGCTAAAATTTTTCATAAGCTTGGGTTAAGAACTAAGTGATGATACACAGGATTACATGTTTGAGTGTGGAGTGGAAAATTCTGCCTTCTAGCATGTCACTGACCCTTGCTTATATATGTAGAATATTTTGTACCCTCTGTATTAGTCTTTCAAAGATGTTATCCTTGTGAGGTTTAGACCGGTGGTACGTGAGGTCCAAAAGGTTGGCGACCACTGGTTTAGAGCATACCTTTTTTCTGCAGCCAGAGGCTTAACTCCTTTCAGAGGGAGCACCACTGTTAGTTGCGATACTTGGAGGTTGTAATTTTAAGGGCCTGAAGCCAACAATAATCTCTTAACTGCCTCTAATCTTGCTAACTTTTCTAAAAGGAATCTATGGTCATCTCTAAAGAGCTAACTTTTTGTATACGCTGTCACTGGCATGATAGAAGGCAGAATTTTTGTACTCCACACTCAAACATGTAATCCTGTGTATCATCACTTAGTTCTTAACTCAAGCTTATGAAAAATTTTAGCCAACAAATCATTAACCTGTGTTATTTTAAATATGTAAAGCAATTCTAGAGATTTCTTATGTGAAACCCATTCTCTGAGTTTTATTATGGCACAAAACCCAGAGGAGATTTAAACTTGAACTTTTTTTCTCCCTTGAGATTTTTATCCTATTAAGACTGTCACCTTTCCATGCACACAGAGGGAGCAAAGAGCTGGTAAGAGCCATATTTAGCTCCCATTAGACTATGTATGTGTGTTTGGGGAGAAGGGTAGTGGAGCTCTTTAGGAAATTTTGGGCAGAGAACTCCAACTTTAAAAATCAATACAAGGTAGTAGGCTGCATTGGCATGATACAATTCTAGTAATCTCATCCACAATAATGTAAATAATGTAGAATAAAAAGGTTATGCGACTATTATTCTATTTTGACAAGCATTTCCTATGAGCCACTTTAAGAGTTATTCCAACTTATTCTTTTTTTTAGGTTGAATATTGTTTACAAATATACTTCAAATAAAAAAACAAAAAACTCAAGTCCATTCCATAAAATCAATTATTCCACGCTCACCCAACAGTGCCATTTTAATCTCAATTTGTATCTTTGGACCAAACCATCTTATAAATGACTTTCATTGTACTTCACATGTCTCAGTATTTTCTTTGTAAATCAGTTCTAGAATTTTTGAATCAGCATTTTAACGCTCTGTGAAAGACCGAAAGTTTGACACATCTTAATAAACCCCTGATTTAGAGTTATGGAGAAAGGGGGTGATCTAATGTACATAATGTCTTCTGGAACCTCAGAGAGGAGTCAGCATGGGGCTGAACCTCTGCCTCAAGCCATCCAAGGAAGTCACAGGCAAAAAGATCCCAAAACATGCCACCAAAAGGCTGTCACCAAGGCCCAGGAAAACCAAACCCCACTGGAAGGGAGAGCAATTATTTCAAAAACAAAGGCAAGACCGGAAAAGGAAGAGGGCAGAGTAATCCAGGGGGAGAAATGAGAAGTTCACGAAGCAAAGGGAAACGAAGGAAAGTCTGACGAAATAGGAAGCATAGAAGAAATTGTAAATGCATTAAGCTTGTCCGCACACCATACTGGGCCCAACAAAAAATTTTCCATTTAAACACAGCAACCACAAGGGATATATACTAAAATGTAAAATCTAGAAATAATCCACACCCGAAGAAAAGAAGTCAACCAAATTTACCCAAAAAAGTCAAGGAATATAGACAGAATTGAGCAATATGCAAACTAGCCAGCAAGGGGAGCCCCAACACTGTTTTAAAAAATCTAATGTTTGAAGGATTTTCCTTTGCCTTTTTTCCTGGGGGCAATGTTATCTAATACTGCATGTTTAATATTTTCAGTATGTTTTTATTGGCAGATTTCATTCAGAATACAAAACTACCAGGAAGTTAAATTAACCATAAGCTTTTGTTTAACAGCACACAATTCAAGTCTACACCTTGTTGGAGCACTATGTGAGATAAAAGATATGCAATAGTGTCTAGGTTTTAATTTCTTGGCATCGCTTTTCATCTTAAATTCAAAATACAAAATGCATGCTTGGGTATTTGTCTCTATGATGTTAATTAATCACAAAGTGTTAAATTACATTTGAACTGTGGTTTTTTAAATGAACATTTCAAATGTACATAAAATTATTGCAAACCGTAACTATACAACTACTACTAGTTTTTGAAATGGATTAATTACTGTGGGATAGATGAAAATTTAAAACAAAGTCTTTAGGCTAATAATAAATCTACAAAGCACTTAAGTGCGTGCTTATTTTGCTGGGCTTCTTAGGAGAGAATAATTTGAATTGGGACCATTATAATAGCTCTGACTATATTACCTACAGTTTTTATTCTTTCATGTCATATTTACTTATGTCTCTCTCACAGTACACATCATTTTCTCTCTTACTGTATAGATCTGTTTCTCTCCATTAAAAAGGAAGCACTCTGACTTCGTAACTTGCACAAAGAGTCCTCAATGAACAGCTGTAGAATGAATGTAAATATGATAGACAGGAGCCCCGGGCATGGCCCATCTCCATCTCTATCTAGCAATGTGACTAGACAAGTCACCTCATCTTTCTGGTTTTAGTTGGCTCATCTGTAATGATAGACATTCTACTGTTACATAAGATGTCTAAACCTTTTCCAGCTTGAAAACAACAACAAAAAGTCCTTCAGTTTCAGATATCACTCTTAAGGAAATACCAAATCACACATAAATCTTTCATTCTAGGCTTTATCTCCTTTAAACAACATCAGATCCACAAATAGCCATGTTTTCTGAAAAAACAAAAATGTCTCCCCCTTTCTTTTTTAAGTAAAAGAACAGTTTTCAAGAAAGTTTCCATTTAGCCCTCCTTAACTTCCAGAATTTAAAACAGAATAATATGAGGGACTTTTGTTTTGTTTTGTTGTGCAACCATACTTATTTTCAGTTAAAAAATTTAGAAATATATGAAATAATAAAATTCCTTTAATAATTAACCTGCCAAGATATACATATCATTACAAATAAGACAACTGGAAAAGCATTTACAGTTGAATTTTGACCAGAAATTACAGCAAATGTTTTAAATACATATTTTCTATGTATTACATATATAACACACTTAGATTTTAAAAGGTATTATTGCCCTGGCTGGTGTGGCTCAATTGGTTGGAGTATCATCCCATACACCAAAAGGTCATGGGTTCGATTCTCAGTCAGGGCACATACCCAGGTTGCGGGTTCGTTCCCCAGTCAGGGTATGTATGGGAGGCAAATATCGAGGTTTCTCTCTCTCTTCCTTCCCCTCTCCCTAAAATCAATTTTTAAAAATTAAAAAAGAAATAATAAAAAACTATTATTGGGAAATATATCTTCCTATTGTGTTTGCATTGTGTTGATATCTCACATCTCACTTCTCTTCCCTGTAAATCATACTCTCCATTTCATTTGACATTACTTTTACCACTATGTATGTATCTTGAAGTAAAATGTTTAAAATATGAACTAATAGAGACTCAACTATGTGGTATGTAACTCTAAATAAATTATATTTATTTTATTTTCATCTCTTAAGCTATTTAAAAAATTTAATGACATAAATATATCAACTAGATGTCCTCAATTTTCATTTGTACATTTATTCTCAGGCCAAGTTACCATTCTTAAATATTATATAGATAAACTTACACTAAAAAAAGTAGAAGGTATTAAAAATCAAAATGTGCAAGTAATTTTCAAAAACCAAAAAAATGAGAAGACAAGTGAATTCTCTTCATTTTTAGAAATTTCTCAATGTTAACTTTATTTTCAGCATGCCAACCTAGGATCAGCCATGGCACATCGCAACTACCTTAAAAATCTCATACAGGCCTGGCTGGCTCAGAGGCTGAGCATCAACCTATGAACCAGGAGGTAACGATTAGATTCCTAGTCAGGGCACGTGCCCGGATTGCAGGCTCACTCCTCAGTGAGGGGTGTGCAGGAGGCAGTCAATTGATGATTCTCTCTCATCATTGATGTTTCTATCTCTCTCCCCCTCTCCCTTCCTCACTGAAATCAATAAAAATATATTTTTAAAAATCTCATATAGTAAGCACAGACAATGAAAGACCAAAGTCTAAAAGCATTTCATTCAGATGTGGGAGCAAGCAGAGATAATCCAAATGTGCAAACCCCAGATTTTTGTAAACAAGCAAACAAGCCAAAAAATTCGAGCAGAAAAATAGAGAAGAAATTATTGTAAAGCTCTGTCCAAATTCAGAATATTCAAAATAATTAAAAGACGTTTGACAAACTGCTGGAGAACAATACACATGCACTTTTCTGGACTTCCCTTTCCAGGTTTATTCAATAACTCTTTCATCGGGCATGCAAGTGAATATAGCTCTATCTTTAGCTGCACAGAAATTAGTGCTCAATATATTAATTGGCTTATTAATAAGCACATTGAAGAAAAGGTACAAAGCCACCTACCATTGTCACTGTCTCCTTCAGATGGAACACTGTAGCTAGAGTTGTCCCATGTTTGTGCCTGTGTAAGTGTGTTGAAGGAGATAGGAGGAAGAGTGAGGGCTGGGTCTGCAGGAGAGCGAGAGAGCCAGTCCACGTATAGTTGCACAAGGACCAGGAAAAACCAAAGGGGCAGCAGCATTCCACAAATGGCACAAGGATTATATGGAAATGAAGTGAATTTCATATTATGGGATTTAATTTCAAATGTACAATATAGGAAAATAATGAAAGATGGTGTATGGAATAAAAAGAATGATAAAAACTGAGTGTTAGTACTTATCAATCATATACTTCACATGCAGTTAATATCATTAATCTTAATAGTTCCACAAGCCCACAGACTTCGAGTACTAATGAATCATGTCAGCAGAAAAAAAGAGTACCCACAGATTATAGATAAAAAGCAAAAGATCCTTTTCAGAGACCTTCTAAATAACTAACAATCTTAGCAAATATGATTCACACAAAAAATTTGGTTACATAGTACAAAATATGGGTAGCTGTATCTATTATTTAACAACAAAACTATTATAGAATCAGTGTTTATTATTGTGAAATTTTTTCACGAGGCAATATAAAATTTCTCTTTAAAGACACCTAAGTCTACTGGCATGCTTTATTGATAGGTGAATCTAGCCAACTCTTTGTTCAACACTTGACATACACACATCTAAATACTGTCTTCAATATTTGTTCATATAAAGACAATTCTGGGTACTAGTAGAGTCTCTTTAACAACAAATCTCATTAACCAATAAATGTCATTCAACTTCAAGCATTCTGAGTTGGTTATTTTTGAAATGATAACATCTTTCTTTGCACTAAATATGCATATAGTAATTATATGTTTATGAAATAGTTAAATGAACTATAACTAGAAAATGTTATGCAATTATAAGGCAGGGCCAGTAAAATAAGTGGACACGGTTCTAGGAATAAATATTTAGTTATATGCGGCTGTCTTTCTTCGGAGGAAAACACAGGAGAGAGAAAAATGTTCTTTGAAGTAACCTACTAATCTACTTTAAAAATATAAGTTCTTACTCTAACTTGCTGATTTGATCAGTCTGTTTTTATTTATAACACAGAAATCACATAAATCCATATATTGAACTTTAAGATAAAAATCATTTGGCTTTTAAAAGTCCAAAAGATAATCAAAAAAAAATTTCTATCTTTTTAAATTATATCATGTTCAATTAAGATTACTGTATATATTATTTTCTAGAAAATATGAAAAGTACACACTGTAATATTTTAATATTATTAAATAAAATGAAAAAAATCCCAATACATAATTCCAGTTTTATAAAGTTCCAAAATCCACTTGATGTTCTGAAGATAAATCAGCTTTATTTACAGCAACCAAACTCCACCAAGCTTTCAACAACTAGAACAATTTCCACATTAGTTAGTCTGCATTATAGAAGGGTTGCAATTGGAGAGGACATTGTCTTTGTTTTCTGCTATTCAAAATAAATACCCCTTTTATTTTTCACGACTACAAAGAATTTGAAATGGCTTAACAGTAAAGTACAATGTTGATAGCCTGAGTTTTGATTCCATACAAGGAAATAAAAAGTCACTGAGACAATTTTACAACTAAATTGCAATATTCAAAAGAATATTATTTTTTGAAGATCTATTCAACTTTGATTTAATCAATTAGAAAATATTTATTTTATGATTGTATAAAACTGCTTTGTAAGGATTAGGGGAAAGTCTGTAGCCTAATATGAGGTCCTCAGTGTGTGGCGATCACTCAAGGCACGGATGACATATACCCTGAGTGACCGCCATTCCTCTTAGCACACACTGAGACCATGAAAATGGATGCTGGCCCAGATCTCAGTTCCAAAAATGAGGAGGCTATTCATTTGAACTTATTTTGTAATTAAAAAAAACACTTTTCTATAAAATGCCTACTAACAACCTTTACCACATCCAAGCATTTTCTCAAATAGCTTTGTCTTACAGCCCATTCAAAATGGCAGGGAAACCATTACACCTGGCCACAGGGTGACCATCAATCAACTTGCTTCCAAAACAAAATCCTTTATAAAAGAATTATCTTTGTTTTCTTTACGGGTAGCCTTTTTCAAAATATACACATGTGTAACTTCAATTGTTGCCAAAATGCTTTACTGAAAAATCCAATGATATTTGAGTTTTTTACTAGCTTTTGCTTAAAAGTGCCTGAGTTATTTTCTAGTACTTAGTTAAAAGCATTAGTAGTGAGCATATGCAAAAGACCTAAGAATCAAAAATATGAAAACAAAGAGGGACCTAAAAGAAGGTAGAAAGTGCCAGAATTTTAAATACGTGGAGAAATCAGAGGAACCAAATTTTTTTATACATAATCCTTCTTTTTAAAATCAACATTCAGTCTGCACATTGCTATAATTTACATTTGTGAATACACTAATAAGAAATTAGAAGAAAGTAGGTAATATAAGCAAAAAGGCTCTTTAAAAAAGACTCCTGGCCAGTTATATGAGCCTTGAAATGATCTATCACCCTGTTATACAAGTAAATACACAGACCCTATACCAGTGATGGCGAACCTTTTGAGCTCGGCGTGCCAGCATTTTGAAAAAACCTAACTTAACTCTGGTGCCGTGTCACATATACAAATTTTTTGATATTTGCAACCATAGTAAAACAAAGACTTATATTTTTGGTATTTATTTTATATATGTAAATGCCATTTAACAAAGAAAAATCAACCAAAAAAATGAGTTCGCCTGTCACCTCTGACACGCGTGTCATAGGTTCGCCATCACTGCCCTACACCAAGGCTCAGAATACCAATGAGGGATGTCTCAGAAAGGAAGTCACCCTCACCGAAACCTTTCTTTAACTTATCAAGAACCACTGGGGCAAAGGGCTAGCTATTTCATCTTCCCTGGGTTAAAAAAACTCAATCAAGCCCAGCTGGTGTGGCTTGGTGGTTGAGCGTCGACCTATGAACCAGGAAGTCATGGTTTGATTCCTGGTCAGGGCACATGCCCAGTTTGTGGGCTTGATCCCCAGTGTGTGTGTGTGTGTGTGTGTGGCGGGGGGTGGGGGGGGGCAGGGAGGGGGTGGGGGCACCAATCAGTGATTCTCTCTCATCATTGATGTTTCTATCTCTTTCTCCCTCCCTTCCTCCCTAAAATCAATACAAATATTTTTTAAAAAAAAACTCAATAGAATATTTCTTTCCCACTTATATGTCCCAACACCTTTTTCCTCTTCGCTGATATCAATAATAGATCTCTATTACTATTAATAACTGAATCACTAAAAACTTGGTTCCAAATCTGGCCTTCCCAAGCTGTAGCCAGGTTCTGACACCAGGACTGAAACTCACCAGAGTTGACAAGGCTGTGTACATTTAGAAGGTTAAAGAGAAACCACTGAGTTATTTACAAGTTTAAGAACGTTGAGGCTTTAGTTTACCTGATCGAGGCTTCAGGCCAAACGGAGCTGTACTGCTGGTGGTAGGAGAGATTGCAGGGGAGTTTTCTCTAATCTGTGTTGTTACAAGGAAAGGAAATTTTGTAAAAAACTGAAGTAGAACTATGCATGTTTCTCTATGCTCAAGGATTTTAATAAAACCACAACCTTTTGAATTTGCTGCTGTGTGAAGTCCTGACTAAATAATATGAAAATCAATGCAAATGCTTTGAGTGGCATAATCAACAGAAGGTTATTTTGGGGGGGAACCATTCAATTTTTTATTTGATCATTATAAAAATACTAGAGGCCCGGTGCACAGATTCATGCACTGGTGGGGTCCCTTAGCCTGGCCTGCACCCTCTCACAATCCAGGACCCCTCAGGGGATGTCGGACTGGTGGTTTCAGCCCGATCCCCACAGGCTAGCTGAAACCGGCAGTCCAACATCCCCTGAGGGATGTAGTAGTGTGCTAAGAGGCAAGTGCTACTACTCCTGCTCATCCTGGCCCTGCTGCGCCTACCGCCGGTAGCGCTGCTGCAGAGGTGGGAGAGGCTCACACCACTGCAGCTGTGCTCACCAGCTGTGAGCCCAGAGTCTGGAGCCCATCAGCTGAGCAGTGCTCCCACTGTGGGAGCGCACTGACCACTAGGGGACAGCTCCTGCATTGAGCGTCTGCCCCTGGTGGTCAGTGTGTGTCATAGCGACCGGTCAAACTGTTGACTGGTCAAACAGTTGACCAGTCGCTTAGGGTTTTATATAGAGAGATTTTACAATCATGTGAAACTGGCAATTCTTTTCTGCCCCAGAATGGATGTGTTCACGGGCATGCATGCACACACACAGGCACACACTCACATCCACCTCACAGAGAGCACATCTGATAAAGACTCATAACACTGAACACACCTCTCATCTACAGCAGCGGTGGGGAACCTTTATTCCGCCAAGAGCCATTGGGATATTTACAACAGTATTCACTAATGTAATTCACTTAATATAAATTTATGTTGTTATAAAAAAAGTTCCAAGATTTATTGAATTTTGAGCCCTGCCTGTGGTTGCCTTGGCAGGGCAAAACCAAATGATTTCCCAGGCTGTCCTTATATGGCCCTTGGGCCAGATGTTCCCCATCCCTATCTACAGGCAAACCACTCACCGAATCACTGATGGAAAACTAGACATTCTATATGTTGCCTATTTGAACTATTTTCATTTTTTTTATATAAAGATGTTCCCATGTTAGTTTTCAAAATATATCTTATAAAATTAATCTTTATTTATGGATAGGGCCAGTTAAGGCTCTGAAAGCTAATGAGATAGATTCCCATATAGAATCTGCAATACAATTAATTCATTAATCATGACAGTCTTAGACTATATGTTTCTATAAAAGGTATTCCAATTCAGGCTTCAAAGAATACATCAGCTTTTATTAATCTTCAAGAAACTTACCTTATTTGGAGAATACTCGCTCCCATTACTCTGTGATGTTAGATTATTTTGCACCTTAAAGAAAAACAAAAATGCATGGTATGTTTCATTAGACTATAAAATTATGGAGGCAAGAACTATGTCTCTCTCACTTCCATCATATCCCTGGCACATAGGCACTCAATGACTATATACTGAATTAATTAATTCGTGTGTTAAGTAGCTAAGTAGGTTTTACTTACATTTTCTAAAAACATGCAGCTATATTCACAGAAAAATACATCTAAGGTATCACATAAAGTAAGCAAAAGAATTTGCCAGAGCAAAGACGCCAGCCCAAACCACCTGTGAAGGTCAGCCACCTGGAGGCTTCCACCCCCATCTTAACTACAGGTTTTTAGAAATGGTTCAAGGCAGTAGTTCCCAAATACACAGAATCTCATTGGGAGGTTTTCATACTGCCTGGATCCCAAATTACCTGGGGAACTCTTATGCTGTCAATTCAACATCAGTTTGCTTGCACAACAAAAGCTTACTTTACTCAGATCTACCTTCTTTATATGGTAATCAAAAACCCCATTGATGCACCTCAATAAAAAATTTGGTGATGGCTATTATCAATATCTTCATAGAGACTACACCAAATTAGTATACATTTAAGATATCTTTTCCTAGTCCTTTGTTGAGGAGTGCTATTAAAAAATATTCCCAACTTTGACAAATACAAGAATAAAACATATTTTTAGAATAAATCATCATTAATTTCCCTACCCAATTAAGAGGATTTATTAGAATTGCTCAAAGTAACTTCGGGTTTGATTCTCTCCATAAACAACTCCTTCCTCTAATTTTTCCTATTGTTCCACCCCCCAATTCAATATTATTTCTGTATATAAGAATGTTATTTGCAATTCTTTCTGAATGGATGTCAATGCTATCCAAACAAGATATGGACAATTTTCTAAAGTATATTCATGGTGAGATATGATGTGCTGCCAATTATAAACCACTTCATAATCTTAGCCTCACCTATCTAACTGGCACCACCCACTCCTCATTGTCCTGAATCCACCATGGCTATGCTGCCTCTTTCAGCACAGCCTCCTGGGACCAAATTCAAACCCAACTGCTCCCCAGATCTAGGTTACTTCCTTCTCCTTAAACTCTATCCCTTCCCCCATCTCCCAGACCACCTAGAACACTGAGGATTACAAATCATCTCATAGTCTTCTCTAAATTGTGTCAATATACAAGGCTTCTGTCCTCCACAATTTGTTTTCCCTCCACAATTTTTAACGTGCCTTCAAGTGAGGGCAACTTCATATCCTTCATATAGAAGTCCTTGACAACAAAAACAAGGCTGAATCCAGCACAAGTACTCAACAAATACTAATTCATTCAAGACTATGGTAAAGATATTGCTTTATTCCTGAATGAGATGGAAGAAAGAATATAAAAATAGCCAACTCATGAATGAAGATCACATTTAAGTTCTGCACAATCATTAGCACTAGCTAATCCACTAATTTCTTTTTTTTCCCCCTCCTCTTTGTGACTTCCATTTTCCATCAGAGCCAGCTAATACACCTTCCCGTTTTTAAAATCATGGAGATATGTCTGTCACAAACACAGAATTGCCCTAGAAAGGGAAGAAAATTAACAATTTCTTATACCAAACGAATCCTCATTCAACCAAAAACAATGTAAATTAACACAAACAATGTAAATCAGAGGTGGAGTGGAGATAATTTTTTTCTAGAGGTTTTGTGTATTCCTGGTAACTCCTAAAATCAAGTACAGAGGTGGGCCTCTATGTTACTTGAGTCAACAGTGGGTTTGCAGCAGGATACTAACATGGTCTCCAAATACCTTTTCACTGACTGCTCATTGGTTACAAAGATAAAATAGAACAGAAATTATACAGTGAAGTCACCTTGACTGGGCGATCAAATTAGCATCACCACTGAGGCCCAGATGGACACAGTGTGCCCCCAAATGCGATACCGTCAGAACACAACATCTCCTAAAAATGTAGAAACTTAATCTAATCATGAAGAAATATAAGGGACCTTTGTTCCTCAAAATAAGGGGCATCCTATAAAATAAAAAAAAAGAGGAAGGCTATATTCTTCAAAATGTCAAGGTCATAAAAATCAAAGAAAGATTTTGGAAATGTTCCAGAATAAGGAAACTATAGATACTGACAACTATCTGCCTCTAGACCAGCCGTGGGCAAACTACGGCCCGCGGGCCGGATCCGGCCAGTTTGAAATGAATAAAACTAAAAAAAAAAAAAGACCGTACCCTTTTATGTAATGATGTTTACTTTGAATTTATATTAGTTCACACAAACACTCCATCCATGCTTTTGTTCCGGCCCTCCGGTCCAGTTTAAGAACCCATTGTGGCCCTCGAGTCAAAAAGTTTGCCCACCCCTGCTCTAGACTGAATACTACACTGGAGGGGGGAAAATCCACTATGAATGACATTAGATCAGCCTAAATATTTGGAATATGGATGGTAGATTAACACTTATCTAAAGTTGATAACTGTAGTTATTATATAAGACAAAATCCCTATTCTTAGAAAACATACACTGAAATGTTTAGCAATAAGGGACTATGATGTATACAACTTACCCTCAAATTTTCAAAAAAAGAGCAATGTATGTGAAGACAGAGACAGAGAATAAATAAGACTGCAAATGTGGTAAAATGTTAACCACAGGTAAATCTGGGTAAAAGGTTGTAAGTTTTTGTAACCTTTTGTAGAATCTGTAATTTCTCCCCAAACTTTAATAAGGTTACAGTATTTCCAAATAAGCAGCTTGAAAGAAAGAAAGAAAGAAAGAAAGAAAGAAAGAAAGAAAGAAAGAAAGAAAGAAAGAAAGAAAGAAAGAAAGAAAAAGTGGGGCCTTAGTCAGGTAGCTCAGCTAGTTGGATTGTCATTCACCAAAAAGGTTGCAGGTTGGATCTCAGTCGGGGCATACGGGAGACAACCAATCCATGTTTCTCTCTCTCTCTCTCTCTCTCTCTCTCTTTCTCTCTCTCTAAAATCAATAAAAACATCCTTGGATGAGGCTTAAAACACACACACACACACACACACACTGGGCAGCATGTCTCGAAAGGAGCTTGATGAAATGGGCCCAGGGCAGCTTCAAATGAAAGACTTCCTGACGCTGCACTATTGGGTAATTCTATGAGCCTCCACTCAAGGAGAAGGTGATGCAGTGATTCTGTCTAAGGACCACACCAGGAACAATATACAGTAGTGGAGTAACAGTACCAGCTACCATTTAGGTTTCCTGGGCTGTGAAACAATCCCAATTTACAGAAAATGAAGGTGAAGATTAGAGAAGTTACACATAGTCGCCCCTAGTCAGCAAGTCTTTGATATGTAACTGAAACAGTATAATTCTAAGTCACCGTGCTTAACAATGAAACCATAGGCTCTGGCTCTGGGAACATAGCTGTTTCAACCGCAGTTCTCTTCCCCCTTATTGAACACAGATCCTTAGCTAGTTAAGAGTGTGAAAGTGCTTTATTACAGTACCTGTTCAGACATTTCAGGGGACATGAATCAGTTTGTACCACAATTAGCCATCCTAAACCCATTCACTGAAAAGGGATGAAATAGGTTGTAACCTGTTTCACTCTCGAGGCACCTCTCTCAACTGTTTCTACCTCTCTAGGACTGTTTCTTTGATACCTTCTAGGCCAGTGGTTCTCAACCTTCTGGCCCTTTAAATACAGTTCCTCATGTTGTGACCCAACCATAAAATTATTTTCATTGCTACTTCATAACTGTAATGTTGCTACTGTTATGAATCGTAATATAAATATCTGATATGCAGGATGGTCTTAGGCGACCCCTGTGAAAGGGTCGTTTGACCGCCAAAGGGGTCACGACCCACAGGTTGAGAACCGCTGTCCTAGGCTCATCTCTAGCTTTCTGTCAAAACTGCTTTATTCAACAACTCAATTTCACCCAATGTAACTTTACTCTTACTCTGTCTGTAAACATCCCTACCACTTTCGTTTGCTATGTTCTTTTTTTTTTATCGTTTAAAGTATTACAGATAGTAGTACATATGTCTCCTTCCCCCGCCCCCCCTCCGGCCAATTGACCTTCTCCCAGCCTCCCCTACCCCCAGCACATGCCCTCACCCGCTCCCCCGACAAGGTCTTGTGTCCATTGGTTTTGCTATGTTCTTTTAATCCTCCTAGGACCTAGGCATTTCCCAAATCATTTTCTTGTTTTTCAAGTCCATTCTAGTTAATTTGCGTCTGGCCAGTTCATAGGTTTCATTCGTGGCTCTAAAATCTACATTGACTGGTCCTACCTCCAGTTTCTGACACACAGCAGGCTCCCTATGGATCTTAGTTGCTGTCGCCTGACTGAGCAAGAGTGACACACACAAAAATTTAGAGAATTTCATGGAAATCTTATCTCTAATGGAAGGTGAAGTATAATAGATAAACAGGAAAACTGAAAACCAGATCTTGAACTAGTCTTCCTTAGGAATGTTCTGCCCCAGGATCAATCTTCACAGAAGGTGGCAGCCACCATTCTGTGCAGAACACTGCACGCAGCTCTGCTGAACCCAAGAGCAGCCTTACCTCACACACCGGAGATGGCTCCAGCTGCATTTGACCGCTGTAGGTATGAGGAGGGAAAAAGATATAAAGTGGAATTTAAAGCACACATACTTCAATGTAAAAAGAGAAAACATTGAGTTTAAAAAGTTCAACATACTTCAGTGCAGAATCTTGTAATTCTAAGGCTTCTGCTGATTCCTTTGGATAAAAGTTTACCACATTTTTCTCTGTTATATCGGTGCTTAATCTAAAGAGTAGGGGGGGAAAAGATGTTAGCAATTTATTAATATTTTAATAAATCCTACTGCTTTTGGTCATATTTAGTTTAAAATTTTAATATATTAAAAAATTATGTTTACCATTAGGACTAAGTAATGAAAGGCTTATAGTAAAAATTTCAAACTACATGGTATGTTCCAATCATGTGCCAAATTTAATATAATTTTCTGACTGCTCTTTGTCAAAATTCAACTTATTCGCATATACCAGTAATTTCTGATAGTCATAAATATTCATAGGTAGTACACAAT